TACTACTACTACTACTACTACTACTACTACTACTACTACTACTACTACTACTACTACTACTACTACTACTACTACTACTACTACTACTACTACTATTATTCCTACTGTTACTACTGTTACTACTCCAGCTCTTTCAATCACATGTCTACTTTGTTATTTAGGTTTACTTGACTTCTAAGCTAGGCGTTGAATCTCAGAAAGTCAGATTATTAATTGATGCTATCTTCTCCGCAACTCGACTAAATGGATTAACGGCCTTGCGTTCAACTCACTTCTCCCAAATCTTGCCTGTACAAGCACAATCTCATTATACAGAAACACCCTTGCAAATCCCGTCTTGCACGAAGGAGCTCTAGGTGTTCGTAGGAACGTAGGCAGGGTAGCGATCGCCCGCCGGCGTAAACTTAGCCAGGGTAGCATCCAACTCCGCCATCTCCTCATCCGTGAGGTCGACGAGCTTGCTGTTCTCCTCCACGCGCTCCGCCGTCGTCGCACCGGGGATGGGGATGATGGTGGGCATGCCGGGCCGGCGCGACAGCGCCCGCGTCCAGTTGATGGCGAGCTGCGCCGGCGTGCAGCCCTTCTTCCGCGCCATCTCCTCCACCTGGTGCACCAGCTGCAGGTTGATCTCGAAGTTGCCCGGCTGGAAGCGCGGGTAGTGGCGCAGCATCGAGTCCGCGGGCAGGTCGTCGAACTTCTGGAACTGGCCCGTCAACATGCCCCGGCCGATGGGCGAGTAGGCGACGATCGGGATGCCATATTGCGCGCAGGCCGCGGCCACGCCGTTCTCCAGGGGTTCCGTCGAGAATCTGATGTCACATGCGGTTAGGGGAGAAAAGAGAGTACTAGGTAGAGACATGGTGTGACGGGGAAACACCTACAGCGAAAGCTCAACCTCCACCGCCTCCACCTTACCGTGTTTGACGGCCTCGTGGATCGTCTCGGCGCGGACCTCGGACAGCGAGATCCCGCCGAGTTTGCCGGTCGCGATGTATTCCTTGTTCATGACGCCGAAGGTGGTCTCGATGGGCACGGTCTGGTCCCGGCGGGCGAACTCGAACAGGTCGATCGTCTTGCGGCCTTTGAGCTGGGCCGTGCAGTCGTCGAGGGTGCGGCGAGTACCCTCCGGGCTGCCGTCGGCTTTGAACGTCTTCAGGTTCATCCCACCCTTGATGCTGAGGACGACCTTTTCGGCGTCCTCGGGGTACTTCTCGAAGTACTGCTCCAAGAGGACCAGGCTGTTGTATTCCACGGGGCCGTAGAACTCGCCACCGTTCCAGAAGTTGCCTGCATCGTGGAGATTAGCACACTGTCGAAGAGAGCTCGCGGACTGGCGATGAGGATATTTGGTGTCACTCACATCCATTCTTCAGAGCGGTGCGCATAGTCTCAAAGGCCTGCTCCTGAGAGCATGGCTTGTCGCGCCAAGTCAAACCCATGAGGCCGAAGCCGATGGGGCCTACTTCCTTGCCGTTGAGTTGGGGCATGTTGAAGATGCGTAAGGTGAGTATGAGAGGTGATTTCAGGTATATTGGAGGAGATTGAGAGCTTAGATTGTTGATTGGGACCAAAGTTGACGAGGAAATGAAGGATTTATACAGAATCGAGACCTCCGTAGGTAGCTCCGTAGCTCCGTAGTATCCGAAAGAATTACGAAGATAAGCTTTTATGATCGTAGTCCGGCATCTTATCGGCTTTGTTTATCTCCACGCCTTAAATCCGCCCCCGGTTCGGTCACCGACCGCCAGTAGTGAGGCGTATCGTAACTGAAATGTATGAATTTTGAGGCAAATTCAGTGATTGCTTGTAATGTTGAATCAGTAACAAGATCACATAATTCTATATACATATTTTAGATATATTCTTTAGATATATAAATTTTTACCTATCGTGGGTAAAAGCCTACAGTTATTAGCCAGTTGGTCTAAGCCTATATTGATCACGTGACATGCTCTTGGTGTAATATAACTTGTAATGAAGTTTTACCCTTGATAGTCTACTACGTGACGTATGTAAAGTTGCCAAAAAAAGTGGTAATTACCCATCACTAACCGCCAGACTACTTCGCTGGAAGGGGGTAGCGAGATCCGGTACCAGTGAGGGATGTTCAATTAGTTATCTCATCATGGTTCAGCATCCTAGGTGTTTCTTTTCTCCTCTGGCCGACGGCCACAAGGTCCGGATTTCCTGATGGATAACGCCTCGATGATGCCACACCTCTCAAATGAACCAGTCAACTGACCATCACAAATGAGTAATCGCGTAAGACTACTTAAAACCTGTCACACGCAGATAAAACAGAAGCTCCTACTTCAAGGCCTTGCTTAATCGACCATCGAAAGAATACTCCTAAACTATCCCTCCTTTCATCTGCCCATCTCTCTCACGTCTTTCAAATCTATGTACATGGCCGGTTCTGTGGGACCAGGGGATGAATTGGTCGACAAGGAGCGCCGTGCAGTTGTTTAACAGCTCACCGGCATACTCGGTAGACATACCACTGTTACTTCAGCATCATGGGCATGTATAAGGCTTAGTGACATTGAGGTACTGAAGGAGCTTGTGAAGCGTCTGAGAGAGAGTAATATGCATCGTCTGTTATATAAATCCTGTCTAAGGCAGCAGGATTGTTCAGAGATGCTTACAATTGGTATGTACTGTGGTCTCACTACAACTAACTCCAAGCTAATGACACCAGGGTGTGCACGTCCCAAGTGGAAGTCCAGAGACGAGATTGAGAGTGCCTGCAAAAACGACCAGATCTCCGATGAAAATTCAGATGCAGATTTCCACGAAGTAATATCTAGCGGAAAGAGAGTAGCTGGCCCCATCAGACGACAGTCCCCTTCCAAGATCCCCAGAATACCTACTACCCCAAGCCCCCAGAAGGCGGCCACTAGCATGATATCAGCCGTAACTACAATTGCTCACAGTGAATCTGCTTAACAATAAATCTGCTTACAGTGAATCCGCTTACAGTAAATCTGCTTATAGTAAATCTGCTTACAGTGAATCTGCTTATAGTAAATCTGCTTACAGTGAATCTACTTACAGTAAATCTGCTTACAGTGAATCTGCTTACAGTAAATCTGCTTACAGTGAATCTGCTTACAGTGAATCTGTTTACAGTGAATCTGCTTACAGTGAATCTGCTTACAGTGAATCTGCTTAGGAACTAGTTGAATTTAGACCCAAAGGTGACATGGTCGTCTACTAACCTATCTTAGTGCGAATTACGGGATGAGTCCACTTGCGTGATCACTGGGTTCAGGGAACCCATAGAAACAGCCCATATCTACCCTGTATCCCTAGGTCATCAAAGTAAGGCAGATCAGGCGCAATTCTGGGAAACCCTGTCCCTCTTCTGGACATCAGAGAGAGTTGAATCGTGGAAAGCAGAGATCCTTGGACCTCAAGGGACCGAGCACTGCGCTCATCTCATGTGTCTGAGCAACATTGCGCACAAGTTATGGGAGAAGGGGCGGTTTGCCCTCTACCCAGTGGAACTTAGTGCGGATGAAAAGACCCTGACGCTAACTAAAGCTGTTCTGGCTCCCCACGATGGCTTACCGGACAGAACAGTCGTTGAGGCGGTCGCCGTCGCCCGTTTGCCCCAATCTTACCTCACACAGCAAGGACGGTGTGCCCTACGCGACATCATACAAGCTAGCAACCGATGAAAAGATCCAGTCTGGTGAGACACTCACTATGCGTACCACTGATCCGGTGAATCTTCCCCTCCCTTCCATCAAATTACTCCAGCTTCAGTGGCTTCTCCATCGTGTGCTTGCTATGAGTGGTGTGGCCGACGCGTCCGAAGAAGATTTGGATTCCGACTTCGGCATCCCGCCGGGTGCAGGAATATGCTGGCGAGCTGAACACCGTGAAAGAGAGAGGGCCAAAGAACGTGACAGTGAAACCCCTAGTGATGATGAGGGGGAAGGTGTCATCTACACAGGAGCATAGCGAGGACAGCGAGTCTTGATTATTGCGTCTGCACTCGCCGGACGCCTCACGGGATGAACAACTGGTGCAATCACTCTTAAGGCACATTCTGTGAACAAAAATTAGCTATATCCCATTCTGGGGGAGAAATCGGATGGGCGATACCATTTTATCGCACGACAACCGGACTGGTACAATGATGGTGACTCGAATATTGAGTACGGACATTTCTCACTCTAACCCGCAGCCAATTTCGCTGTGTCCTAATAAGAGGTCCTATCTCTTTCTTTCTTTCTTCTTTTTTGTTTTTTTGCACGCGTGGAAAGTTGTGCCGGGCCAGGGCAAAGTGATTTGCTTACAGTGATTTGCTTATGCACTGAAAGTCTGCATTGATCGGATAGGAGATAAACATGATAATGATATGATTAGTAGTTGCTGACATCATTTCATCCAAAATTTCATCAGAAGATTCTATCTATTTTGTTGTCCGGTCCCCGAATTGAAAGAAGAAAGAAAAATGAAAACCCCGATACCCCGTTAAACTTACCTGCCCCGTAACCAACTCCGCTAAGAAGAGCACAAAACAAGGCACAAAGGAAGGAAAAAGCAACGCTACAATTGCACAACATTGTTCATAATCTGGACCTCCTGGCCGGGCTTGAAAGCCGGAAGACCAATGAAGGGACACCCATCACACCGGAAGGCGTCGCCTAGGGCGCAATTCCCGCATGAGCCGGGCTTGCCCTGCACGGTGAAGTCCAACTCGTTCAGATCGTCGGTCTGGAGCTTCATCACGTTCAGGGCCTTGTCGGCTTTCTCCCGCTGCGCTTGTTCTTCCGCCTCGATTCGGGCGGCGAGGCCGCATGTGCAGTCCTTGCAGGCGCGTCTTCTTCGACCCTTCTTGGGTTGGCATTCGGGGGCTGTAGATGAGTGTACTGGTTAGGGAGATGCTTTTGACAATACGAATGGTGGCGAGGGTTGGATACTCACGAGGAATGGGTCTCTTCAGATCATCTTCCGACAACAGTTCATCCTCGTCGATCAATTCGTCGTCATCGCCGTAGTCGGCGTCATCGTTGATGATGCCCATCGCTAGTGGCGGGGCAGACTGTACAGGAGCGGCGGCAGCGGGGGGAGGAGGGAGGGGAGAGTTCGTAGCGGCAGCAATGGGCGTCTTCTTGGCGGCGTCCTTCTTTCCGCTCCGACGGAGGGGGATGGCGAACACTTTGCCTTGATCGGCCTTCTCGAAGCCCTTGTCCGTCTTCACCAGCCCCGCCAACACCGCCTCTCGCTCCTCAGCCTCCCCGAAGACATTATCCTGAGTCTGGAACTTCGCTCCCGCCTTCATGGAGGGGACCAGCGCGCCGTAAACATTCCGGTTGAGAAGCTGCAGGGCCTCGGAGCGTCGTGTGCCATCGGTGTCGGTGAGGACGAGGACGAGGTCGTATGTATCGGCGGGGAGGGAGGCAAAACCACCGGCTATGCGGTCGAGCATCTGAAGGTCGGTGGTGGAACGGTCATAGGTGGTGAAGAGGTCGCGCAGCTTCTCTTCGTGGGTGGCGATGGAGGGCGGCGCGAGGAGAAGGATACGCTGTGAGGAGGGGTTGATGGACTTGACCGAAGGTGGGGGAGTCAGGTCGAAGTCGGGAGTGGTGTCGATGGTCACGAACGAGGGAGCCATTGCGACTGGTCTTCCTGTATTGCTCGTGTTCTGAATATGAAGGAGTGACTGCGGTGAAATGTGATCTGCGTCTGTGTCTCCAAGAAGATTGTGGTTGTGATGGCAGATTAAATGGGCGTTCGTCTCTGCGTACCTAGTAATCGGCACTGGACTTCGTTTTTTGGCTGACTCAAAAACCGTCATCTGACTGTGACGTGATTGGTCGGTGGGGGATGTGGCAGAGATTGTCGTCGCGGGTTATCGGATTACTCAGCCGAGATGACAAATCGATACTCTCTTCCGAGGAGATGACTTAGGAGACCGAGTATGCCATCAATGATAAGTTACGAGCTTGTAGACCAGGTGTTAATTGGAGAGACTTGATAGGTTAGTGTGTATCATTAACTACTGAGAGGATTGCAGGCTGGTTGGTTGTATGGTTGGTAGTAGTGCTGTTGCCCTCCTGCTAATCGCATGCCTCCGCCGTTCTCTGCCCCGCAGTCGTGAGAACATCTTATCTTCTTATCCATCGTTCTTCCAACCTGAGACTGAGGTTGTTCTGACGCATTTTCTACTGTTGACGGTGGCCTCTTAAAAACAGATCACCTCTCATACCTGGAATGATAACTATCATGAAGGCACTCAAGTCGGGTTACCCATCACTAATTTGTGATTGTCTATAGTTGCGCAGTCCTCGTGTTTCCCCGCTTGTTCTAATGATGTCACTGATAACCGAGCGACTCAAGTGTCTCACTTGAGGGCTGCTACTGATGTGACAGAAGATGTCGAGGGTCTTATGTCTAAAGTATCTCAAATTATTGAGCAAGAATGGATCCTCTCTGATGATATGCTATGTTGTTTTAGAGTGAAGTCATGTACAGTACAGTGCATTCATCCGAGGAAGCATTCCAGAGGGAGGCGCTCTCCGCAATGCAGGCCCCGAAAGCGGCTACCAAAACAGATGCAGTGTAGCTGCCTTGGCTTGTAGACAAAAACTGACCAAAGTTCTCTGACAATGTGTAGGAATTAGTAGCCTCCAGGCTACCACTCACTGTAGTTTTGAGCCTTCATTGGTGGTGCCACAGGAACTGATTGTATTGTTTGCTGAGTCCATGGGATGAAGGCGTCTCTCAGCCTGGTCAGAGAGGACAATGATGGATTTGAGTAGCATTGTAGGCAAGACGTAGCAGACAAGTCTAAATCAATAGACATACTGTATCATGTATATGGCCAAAGGCCCAGCCAGTCAACTTGAATCAAGTTGTGATACCCCAGATTGTCGGGCTCAGCTGACCCGGGTATGTCACCGGCAGGGTGCCTGGCCGTTCCTGGCAACTCTCCACCTCCACCTCCACCTCTTACCTCCGCTTCCTGCTGCTCTTCTCCTCTTCTCTTTGAACAAACCTTCCATCTCTTTTCTTTCTTCATCTTCTTCATCTCCAATTCTTGCAATCGATCACCCATCTCTTCCCTCGTCCCTTCTTTTCTTTTGGGACGGTTTCTCCATCATTGAGCTCTTTCATCCTCCCACTCACACTCCCCCAATCTAGACCCGCGGCGATGGGTGGAGACATGCCCCGACAAGCTCCCAGCGCCCTTCCCCGGACTCCCCAAGGCCCCGTCGGCCAGCGCATTCAATCCATCTACACCGACCGTCTCAAGCAATTCACTGCCACCGGTCAATACCAGGGCCAGAACCTTCTCTCGTAAGTTCTTTTCAAATTATTCTACTATCTTTATTATACAATCACAGTAGTTCTTTTGTTGACACCACAATTCAGCAAATTCTACGAGGCTGTCAACTCCGACGAGGACCATGTCAAGCTTTCCGTATACTCCGTCCCCGACCTGCAGCGTCCACCCTTCAAGGAAGCCACATCTCATGAATTCAAACCCACCCACATTGGGGCCTCATTTGGTCCAAGCTGGTCGACCCATTGGTTTCACATCCGCTTGACTGTTCCCTATGACATGCGCGACAAGGAACGCTTGGAGTTCCATTGGGATGCCAATAACGAAGGCTTGATTTGGTCGGAAGATGGCCGGCCCTTGCAAGGTCTCACCGGTGGAAATGAGCGCATCGAGTGGATCATCCCCGACGCCTGGCGCGACGGAAAGGAACATGTCTTTTATATTGAAATGGCCTGTAACGGCATGTTTGGTAACGCCCCTGGTGGAGATTCCATTCAGCCTCCCTCGCCCGACAAATATTTCACCTTAAGTAAAGCTCAGATCACTGCGGTGAATCTTGAAGCACGGGCGCTGTTTTATGATTTCTGGATCATTGGAGGTATGCTGCGAGCCCTCAAGTCTCTCATCTGATACTGCCTTTTGTCTTGCCTCACACTAATTTGGGATTGTGCTCAGATGCTGCGAGAGAGTTCCCGGGAGATTCTTGGGAAAAGCACGAGGCCAACATGGTGACTAACGCCATAATTGATGCTTTCATTGCGGGCAATGGGAGCCAAGAGTCTATCAAAGAGGGCCGCAAGATTGCGAGGAAGTATATCGGCGACAAAGTCGACACTTCGCAGGTATATGACACCGACACGGATCCCATCGTCTATGCAATCGGTCACTGTCATATCGACACTTGCTGGCTCTGGCCTTGGGCGGAAACAAAGCGTAAGGTGGCCCGCTCTTGGTCGAACCAGTGTGATCTGATGGATCGCTATCCGGAGCATCGCTTTGCTTGTTCCCAAGCACAGCAGTTTAAATGGCTGAAAGAATACTACCCCTCAGTGTTCGATCGCGTCAAACAATGGGTCAAGAAGGGGCATTTTCAGCCCATCGGTGGCAGTTGGGTCGAGCACGACACTAACATGCCCAGCGGCGAGTCGTTGGTGCGACAGTTTCTCTACGGACAGCGCTTCTTCCAGAGTCACTTCGGAGAACGTTGTACAACCTTCTGGCTTCCAGATACCTTTGGCTACTCTACACAGATTCCTCAGATTTGTCGTCTGGCTGGAATGAGCCGGTTCTTCACCCAGAAGCTTAGCTGGAATAATATTAACAACTTTCCCCACACTACCTTCCAATGGGTGGCGCTGGATGGGAGTCAGGTCATGTGTCACATGCCTCCATCCGAGACTTACACTGCGAGCGCCCATTTTGGCGATGTCAAACGCAGTGTGACTCAGCATAAATCGCTGGACAAGGACAACACATCGCTCTTGGTCTTCGGTAAGGGTGATGGTGGAGGTGGCCCAACCTTTGAACATCTGGAGAAGTTGCGTCGTTGCCGCGGAATGAGTGACAAGGTGGGCTTGCTTCCTCGCGTGAAGATGGGGGAATCTGTCGATGACTTCTTTGCGCGACTTGAAAGGAAGGCGGAAGCTGGTACCAAATTCGCAACTTGGTATGGCGAACTGTACTTTGAGCTCCACCGAGGCACGTACACTACGCAAGCCAACAACAAGCGAAACAATCGCAAATCTGAATTCCTACTGCGGGAGATCGAGTACCTTGCCACTCTGGCATCGCTTCATGGTGACAAAGGTTATCAGTACCCTAAGAAGGATATTGATGACATGTGGGAGGGTGTTCTTCTCTGCCAGTTCCACGATTGTCTTCCCGGAAGTTCCATCGAGATGTGCTATGATGACTCGAACAAGCTCTATAAGCAAATCTTTGAAACAGGTCAGAGGGCCAGAAAGGAAGCGCTTGGAGCTCTGGGAATCGGCAAGAAGAAGACTAGCAAGGAGTTCGTCGCACTCAACACACTACCTTGGTTCCGTTCCGAAGTTGTCAAAGTTCCCTCTGAACTTGTAGCCTCGGGCGGTCCCAAGTATATATTGGTCAATGGAGAAACTGGTCTCATTCGATGCCAAACCCCTGCTCCTTCCAAGGCAGGTCCTGCTGTTACAGTCTCCGAAATCGAGCCTGGCGTCTTCCGCCTGCAGAATGAAAACCTCAGACTCGATATCCAAAACGGTGTGATTACATCTTTGTACGACCGTGAAGTGGATCGTGAAATCATACCCAAGGGCGGGAAGGCTGGGCAACTGGTCATTTTCGACGACAAGCCTCTTTACTGGCAGGCTTGGGATGTGGAGGTCTTCCATCTCGATTCCAGAAAGGAACTGCACTATAAAAAGACGACCATTTCCGAGAAGGATCCTTACCGTGTCAGTGTCGTTAGCGAAACGCAGATCAGCGAGAATAGCTGGATCAAGACCACTATCAGCCTCACTGCTGCGAACGGAACCCAGCCTTCCTACGTCGAATTCGAGAGTGAGGTCGAATGGCGTGAGACCATGAGATTCCTCAAGGTCGAGTTCCCTGTGGACATCACTAACACGGAGGCGTCGTATGAAACACAATATGGAATCATTCGGCGTCCGACGCATTACAATACCAAGTAAGTTGACCATATCTGCAGCAAAATTGAAATCTATCACTAACAACCCATTCAGCTGGGATATGGCCAAGTTTGAAGTATGCTGCCACAAATGGGCTGACCTGTCCGAGTACGGCTATGGAGTGTCAATCCTCAACGACTCCAAATATGGCTTCGCCACTGCCGGCAACCTGATGCGTCTCTCGCTGCTGCGCGCCCCTAAGGCGCCAGATGCCCACGCAGATATGGGCCGGCATCACATCCGCTATGCTATCCTCCCACATGCAGGACCACTGGATGCGCGCACAATTCGAGCCGGGTACAGCTTCAACCATCCTCTGGTCCTCGAAGCGGCAAGCGGCCAGGAGGTCAGCGACGCGTTCAAATCGGTTGCGCTCTCCGGAAACCCGTCTTTGGTCATTGATGTGATCAAGCGTGGCGAGGACGACGAGGACGTGTCCCGAGACAATTTGCCTCGGCGCTCCGGTAAGAGTGTCATCCTCCGTATCTATGAGTCGCTCGGAGGCAAGAGCCGCGGCACCATCCGCACCAAGCTCCCCATCAGCAAGGCCTGGAAGTGCAATGTGCTTGAGGACGACGAGACTCCTCTTGCGCTTGTGCAACGTGCCGAAGGCACCACGGATATTGATATCGAGCTGAGGGCCTTCGAGGTGGCGACGTACCGTCTGCAGCTATAGTTTTTGTGCGTTGTGTTTCACTCACCGGTGTCAGCCACATTGTAGTGACAATTGTATCAGACCGCCACACAACGGAAAACATATTGTTCATTGATCACAGATGTTGTTCTTGGTATATAGTCAAAACATGAATCAACACCAACAATGCAAAGGGTAGTTATGGTACAGTACAGCACAAGAGGATATCACGAAAGTAAGATACAGACAGCACCCCGCCGCAAAGATGAACACAGCCATCCTTGCCATACCAAGACAAAAAAGAACCAGAAAATCGAGCTAGCTTGTATTCTTCTCCGCGCCAAAGCTCCGTATCAAGAGAATCAAACTCCTAGTAACAACAAACCCAGACCGTCCATACACCACGAAACTAGTCCCGACCATAAGTGATCTTCAAGCGCTTCGTCGGCGGCCGATCCCCATCCGTCGCATCCTCATCGTTATTGTTGTTGTTGTCTTTGTTGTTGTTACTGTTCGCCGTAGACTTATCCTTATTCCCGCCGGATTTCTTTTTGTTTTTGGACGACTGCCCCTTGACGCTATTTGCCGCAGAGGAGGCGTCTCCGTTGTTCCCGGGTTTGCCGGTCGAGGAGCCGTTGTAGGTGGAATTAGGCGTGGGCGCGTGCGAAGGGGTTGTCTGGGCGGATGATGGGGCGGGGGAGTCCTAAACATTTTTGCATCTGGTTAGCCACTTGGTGCCTCAAACAACACAACGCTCATATTCCCGACAGGGGGGGTTTTTTTTTGGTGGAAGAAACGAACCCGCATATAACTCGCCGAACTCCTCGAGAACACGCGGTCGGCCTCGGTGACGGGCGCCTTCCGTCGCGCACCGCCGCCGCCGCCTCCACTGCCTCCTCCACCAGCACCAGCACCTCCCCCACCACTTCCACCTCCGACCCCGGAGGACAGCGAGAGTCCGCCAGCGCCTAGTCCGCCGCCGGTCGAGGAGCCCTTGATGTAATTGTCGAAGCCCTTGATGATGTTGCCGGCGGTGGTTTCTTCGAGGTAGGATTGTTCGAAGCGGTAGATTTGGTCTTCGAGTTGGGCCTGGTTTCGTTTGTCAGTGTTACTGTTACTGAGGGGGTTTGAGTGGTTTGGGGAGAGGAGGGGGCAAGGTGGGCGGACGGACCATGCTCTTATCCATTAGGCGTTTCTTTTGTAGGGTGTCGCGCAGTTCGCGGCGGAGTTTCTCGTAGTATGGTAGGCCGCGGTTGGCGGTTGAGGGGGCTGTTGTTGATGTTGATGATGCGGTTGCTTCTGTTTGTGCTGGGGCTGGGGTCGGGTCAGTGGTGGAGGGTGCGGTGGCTCCGTTTGTTGTTGTCGTTGTGGTTGTGGGTGCTGTGGGGTGGGATGCGGTGGCTCCGGGGGTGCCGGGGGTGCCTGGGGTTGGTCCGGCGGGCGCGGGCGCGGTGGTTGTGGCTGTTGGTGCTGGGGTGGGGTTTGTGGTGGCATTGGTGTTGTTGGTGGTGATGGTGGTAGCATTGGGATTGGGGTTGGAGCTGGAGTTGGAGTCTGCGCTCAGTTGCTGCGTGATGTCTCGGAGGTGCGAGGGTGTAGCTGTTGCTGCTCCTGTTGCTGCGGTTGGAGTTTGGGAGGGCGTGGGAACTGAGCCTCCTGCTGTTGCAGTGGGAACGGGGGCGGGTGAGGCCATGTTTGCTTCCAGGAAGGAGGTTGTGACGCGCAATTCGGTGCTGGGAGGTGTGGTTTGGATGCGACCTCTGAGGTGGTGAGTCGCGGGCGCGAGGGCTCTGTTCGGGTTGAGTCCGCTTTTGTTTGCGGGATAGAGGGATGAGTGCGACACGAGTGTAGAGGATGGCGATGCTGATCGGTGGGGCAGTTGAGTCTTAATTCAATGGCGCGCGGAGTCGTGTAAACTGCGAAAGGGTATCGGAATGGATGGATGGAGATGAATGTTGCGGCGGGTTGAAGATCAATTGCTCGGCAGACCTTATCAATAAGCACTGTTTGGCTGGTTTGCATCTGGGGCGGATTGGTTTGTTGGTGAGTTACTCCGATAGGCACTTACGCCATCCCTCACTTCCATCTCTCCCTCTTCTCACTTCCTGGCTCACTGCTCTTGACTACCAATTTGTTTGAGGCTCTCTGGACAGTGTCGATATTTTGTAAAGCTGCTACTGTATCGCTGCTCTGGTGAGAAACTCGTTTGTACAAGCTGACACGGAACTTGTTTCTTTCATCTCACGGCACCAAAGATGGATCATTCGATGCACCATATGGGAATGGATATGGACCATGGCCATGACCACGGTGATATGGACATGGGACAGTGTAGTATGAATGTAGGTTGGAGGATCACTTTTGTTCTTCTCTCGTGTTCCGCCTTTTCTTAAATGCCCCGGCGATATAATTGCTTTTTCTCCACCCTGCCCTAAGACAACCCTGCTAACGCTCCCTAGATGCTCTTCACCTGGTCTACAAAGAATCTTTGCATCGTCTTTCCGCAGTGGCGGGTCACCGGCACCTTGTCTCTATTCATCTCACTTCTACTTATCGTGCTTTTGACCGCCGGCTATGAGGGCGTCCGTCAGCTTACAAGGCGTTTCGAGGTGGCACATGCGAAGAGGCTCAGCGCATACACGACCGCCGCAGTCGGAGGTAAGTTTGATCTTTCGTTGCTTCTGCTATGCGGGTGGCGGAGGGGAACGGCATCGGGGTTATCTTGTCGTCTCTTTCATAGTCATGGGTTGTATGCATGCCTTTGCTGAGATGATGCGCCTGACAAATCGCTTGTTGAGTTGAAGGCAGCGAAATCCACGACGATTCTCCGCCGGCCAATGACCCTCCCAGCCAGACACTGCCTGTCCCAAACGGTGGCTCACAGCTCGTTGTAGGTAGGGATAGCCGAAAGTCCGTCGAACAGCGAGGAAAGATTACCATGGCGTCATTGTATGCTGTGCAGGTCTTCTATAGCTTTTTCATTATGTATGTTCCCTGACTACCCTCTTATCGACATGGACTGATCTGAGCTGCGCAGGTTGCTTTTCATGACCTATAATGGCTTTGTTATGCTAGCTGTCGCCGTCGGTGCCTTTGTAGGATATCTGGCGTTCGGAGACGACACCTCCGCTAGCAAGACGGTTGCGTGTCACTAGGTGGCCACGCAAGCTGGGTAGCTTGGATCCCGGGAAGCTCTCTCAAGATATATTGAGGGATGAGTGTCGCCGGGCTGCATGATTCAGGCAATGGTGGCTCAGCATAGTCATTCTCAGACTTCTGCAATTGTCGTTTGTTGCTGTTTCGGGTAAAAAGGACTCAAGGGACCTCGATGTCACTGTCATCACCACCAAAGCCAAAGCTGAACCCACCACCTTCGTTGGCATCAGCCCCTTCCTGGTCTGCGTTTCCATGAACAATCTCATCCCATTTTCTCTTTTTGCCTTCTGTCTTCTTCCTCAGCTCCTCCTGCGCTTGCTTCAGCAGCTCTGGATGCTGTTCTTGCATTTTAGCCAAGAAACTGTCGTAGGGATTCTGCACGTCCTTTCTAAATCCAGAAACCTGATCTGCCTTGTTAGACAGAAAATCGAGGGCAGCGCTCAGGTGCGCGCGGGGAATAAAGTTTTGCGTGATGGCAATAGATGGCTCAATATTCACCACCAAATGCCACCATCCGGACGGCACATGAAGGATCTCTCCCTCTTTACAGATACCCTCAACGCAGCCTGGTGTGCGCCGGGCCTCTGCGTGGAATCCAAACAGCCACTCGGCGATACTGAGGGGAGAGGTCACTTCACTCTGATCCTCCGACACGAAGACTCCCGGCGGAGGCGGGAGCTTGGACGACGAAGGGAACATGATCCAGTACTTGGAGCCGCGAATGACCGCGTTCCACGCGCTGGTGGCATTTGGGTCTTTGTGGAAAGTACTTCCAGACCGTTCGGGCCCGACAATCAACCACTGTCGGTCGGGCCGATCATTGCCCAGCACGGAGAAGAAGTCCTCGCCAAAACAGGCAAGCGGCCAATAGGCGGCCTCGGGTTCCTGATCGAGCTGTCCGACCTTAAGCCCCATCTTGGAGACAAAGGCCCGGTCGAAGAGATACAGCGGGCTCTCGTCGGAGTTATTCTTCATGTATTCGACGTAGCTATAGAATGGCCAATCGACGGCCTCTGCGCGAAAGATGGTCTCGCCATAGTCGTAGAGCAAGGAATCCATGGTCCATTTCTTGTATACGGGCCATTGCTTGACCGGCTCGGTAAGAACGAACGGCGTATCGGACCATTTCTCGTTGAATTCTTCGAAAGTGAGATCGGGCAAACGGGCGATCTGGTTGCGGGCGGGGATGCCCGTGACGTAGGGATCGAGACTGATATGCGCGCAGTGGAAGGGCCGGTGCAGGACATCGGAATAGAGATTCGAACAATCCAACATGCACACTTCCGTGGGTGGGATGTTGAGGTAGCTGGAGCGCCATGTGCCTTTCCAGGTAAACTTGGCGGGGGGTGATCTGGCGCTGCATGTCAGTGCTGAGCTTGAGGAACACTGGATGGGGTCATGTCCTGTGAGGCAAATCGCCGCTGGGCGATGGCAACCCATGGCAGGGTGGTATCTAGAACTTACGCGACAAACAGAGCCTTCCACAGCTCTTCAGCCCGGGTGAAAGCATAGAATGCTTTACAGGTGCGTCCAATGCGCACCAGACTGGGCCCATCAAGGTGTTCCAGCAGCATAAGTATCAGCTCATCTGGCAGAATGTTGAAGACCCCAATGGCATCCCGCAGGTTCTCCGTCGCAAGCAGGGCATTGCCGCTCGGCTTGACTCCCAATGGATGGCCGGGAATTGCATCATGGGCAGCCTCGTCCTCCGGTTCAGGATTGGAAATGGAAGTCGGATAGACACGCGTCACCGTCTCCTGGTCCAGGTCGCGGACGCCGTCAATTGAATTGATGTCCGGCATTTTCATACTTGCGGCGTTGGGAGGGAAGAATATCTAAAGTAGTAGAACTAAAAAGTGACAAAGCTGGAAATCTGGAGACCTTCCCGATTAGGCGGAGGGGTGGCCGAGAGGCGGTACGGCGCTAGTAAATTTTAGTACTGAGTAACACCCACATTGAGGAGGAGAAGGAATAATAATCAGGCAAGATAATGCCCAACCATGCACTGTACCGAGGAATACCCTTTCACCAGCAGGACAAAGGCAATAGAATTTAGGACATAAGCAGTTCCATTACAGTGTCATTACCGTGACCTAGGCCCTCATCTCTTAGAATGACTCTCAAGTGTACGGAGTACGTTGGAGAGAGTCTTGTGGTTGGACGTACTGAGTTGCTGAGGGTCAACTAAAACGCGTACGGCAGAATACAGGGGCAAGAGAAAAACGTGGGTTATCTGGCCTAAGGAGTAGGCGGTCAGATTCGGCTGCACTAAAGCAACGCTAAAAGTCAGAAAAAAATCAAACAGCGTCAGAACAAACAGAGAGCCAGAGAGCAGGGAAGAACGAAGGGGAAAAAAAAAAAAAAAAAAAAAAGAGGAGTGAAAAAAAAAAGTTCGCTCGTTCCGCCGCCGGTTTTCCACTGCCCGCCCCATTTTCCCACACCAGGCGTTGGCCTTCCCTTCCACCTTGATCTTTCTTCTCTTCCTTCTTCTCCTCAACCCCTACGACTCTAGTAGTCTTGTGATATTTTTTTCCAACTTCAAAAGTTGTGATCTCGGTAGGTCTCCATCTCACTGCTACCTTTTTTTTTTTACCTTTTTTCATCCTTTGCGCCTACCCCTCATCGTCTACCGCTGCATTCCTCGCTAACAGGCATTTTTTTCAGTTTTATTTCCCAAACCCCACCGTCTTTTTCGATCACAGCACATCGCTTGTGATCACTTTCTTACAACCACACCGCAATCATGGCTTCTAACGACAAGGGTTTGGAGGAGATCCCCGAGGGTACGTTCTTTTTCGACTATTTTCAACTGCGAATATTGTTTTTGTTATCGTCAAGAGAGATGTATGCTTGGGAGGGGGGGGGGGTTGTCTCGGTCATCCCGCTAGAGGGTTCGGCTAGAACGATGGAAATTTTCTTGCAACCACGGGCACGACCATGCGAAGACATTTTACAGATGAACTGACGAGAGACCTCGACAACAACAGGACAGATCGAGTCTAACTACGATGAGATCACCGACTCCTTCGACTCCATGGACCTCAAGCCCGAGCTCCTTCGCGGTATGTGATACAAATTCTGATCCGCTCCGGTGGGGTCAGTGCGGGCACCAGACTGACGACAATCAGGTATCTACGCTTACGGTTTCGAGCGTCCCTCTGCTATCCAGCAGCGTGCCATCATCCCCATCATCAAGGGTACGTCTCAAACGACTTACCACTTATCGCATATTCCAAGACTAACCATCTTTCAGGTAACGATGTCATCGCCCAGGCCCAGTCCGGTACTGGAAAGACTGCCACTTTCTCCATCTCCGCTCTCCAGAAGATCGACCACAACCTCAAGGCCTGCCAGGCCCTGATTGTCGCTCCCACCCGTGAGTTGGCTCAGCAGATCCAGAAGGTCGTCATCGCCATCGGTGACTTCATGAACATTGAGTGCCACGCCTGCATTGGTGGTACCAACGTCCGTGACGACATCAACGCTCTCCGCAACGGCCCCCAGGTCGTTGTCGGTACCCCCGGTCGTATCCACGATATGATCCAGCGCCACGTCCTCAAGACCGACCAGATGAAGCTGTTCATCCTCGACGAGGCCGATGAGATGCTTTCTGTAAGTTCATCACTGGACCGCGGTGGTTGACCGGCGATGCTAACGGCATGATTAGCGTGGTTTCACCGAGCAGATCTACGACATCTTCCAGCTCCTTCCCCAGTCCACCCAGGTCACCCTGCTCTCTGCCACCATGCCCCAGGATGTCCTTGAGGTCACCACCAAGTTCATGCGTGACCCCGTCCGTATCCTGGTCAAGAAGCAGGAACTTACCCTCGAAGGTATCAAGCAGTTCTACATTGCCGTTGAGAAGGAGGAGTGGAAGCTCGACACCCTCTCCGACTTGTACGAGACTGTCACCATCACCCAGGCCGTCATCTTCTGCAACACCCGCCGCAAGGTCGACTGGCTCACCGACAAGCTCACCGCCCGTGACTTCACTGTCTCCGCCATGCACGGTGACATGGAGCAGGGCCAGCGTGATGTTATCATGAAGGAGTTCCGTTCCGGATCTTCCCGTGTCCTGATCGCCACTGACCTTCTGGCCCGTGGTATCGATGTCCAGCAGGTTTCCCTGGTCATCAACTACGATCTCCCCGCCAACCGTGAGAACTACATCCACCGTATCGGTCGTGGTGGTCGTTTCGGTCGTAAGGGTGTTGCCATCAACTTCGTCACCGCTGATGACGTCCGTATGATGCGCGAGATCGAGCAGTTCTACAGCACCCAGATCGAGGAGATGCCCATGAACGTTGCTGGTAAGTTTGACCTGATTAGGATAGTGAGGATAATGCTAACCAGCTGGCAGACCTCATCTAAACACCTTAATTCCCGAATCACCTCATGCCCCTCGATGCGGATTACGAATGCAGTTGCCAATAACGCTCCAAGGGTGAGCTGCGGTGGGAAAGACGTTCTGTCATCGTCATGCTTATCTTGGTAAAGGAGAATCCTTCAAAAAGTGGCTTTCTGTGTCTCCAGCATTTTCTCTTTTTAGCAGTGGGCGGCAGGGGCCTGCAGTGGCCATGCCATCATGTCCTGCGTGTTCTTGTCGAATACTTACTGTTTATGGTTTTCCTTTTTCTTTTTGTTATGGAGATGCGACAACGTTCGTGCGGTTTTATTGCTGTAATTCATGGTTCCTCGCTTCCGGAAACGCCTTTTCTCACGCTTTTTCCCATTTGAATATTGTGCCTTGCTCGCTCTGGCTGATCGAGGATGTTACGTTCATACTTGATCGGAAGGTCGGGCACTTAAAATGTGATTATTCTCGTTCCACGGCTTTTTTTTCTCTTTTGCCGCAAGGATGCGGGGAGATGGAGATGGAGATGATGATGTGTATGAACCCCTGGCTCCGACTGGGCTTGTATCCCTGTGTTCATTACGATAGACGAGAAAGGTACCGCTTGTTTTCCTATGGTGCCAGTGCGGTGTTGCGAGTTTGGTATGATACTTTCTGGCTTTTGTGTATGTTGCTGTCGAGAAGTATCTATATCTCCGTCAGCTAGTCAGCCGTCAGCCGTCAGCTAGTCCATATCTAGTCTTCTAGTAGAGTTACTGTTGTAGTCTCCTAGCACTCTTCTCTGTCCTTCACCATAGACCTCATTCTTTTAACCGGCGGACTCAGCATATCTACACCTTTCTACCCTCTGACCCAACCCAACCCAGCCATCCAAACCATCCACAGATAATCCACACCCCCACCGCTAATCCTCAACCCCCGCACCACAAAGTACACAGTACACATCAAACACCTTCCCCTTTTACCCTCTGTCACAACAAATCAACTATACCCCAACCACCGCTTCATCACCCCACACACCACAAACCCCATCCTCCATCCCCTAAGACTCAACACCACATCCACCAACAACCATCCACCAGACACAACCACAATGCCCTCCACCACCACTCCCAGAAAACCAGCACCACCACCACCACCACCCCCAACAACCGCTACAGCCACCGCTCCTACTACCGCTCCGGCTCCGGCTCCGGCATCTTCTTCTCCTCAAGCAACAATCACAACAACCCCCATAACCCTCCTCTGGGCCCACGAACTCCGCCGCGAGAACCTCGAGCTCGCCGCCCGCCTCGCCGCCGCCGAGCGCACCATCGCCGCCCTCACCGCCCAGCTGCAGGACGTGCGCGCGCAAGTCCACCGGGTCTCTGCGCTGCAGCAGGCCGAAGTAAAGGAGATGGATAGGCGGGTGCAGCGGGCTGAGGACCTTGTTCGCGGGGAGGTGGCGACGGTGGGGCGGTTGGTCGAGGGGTTGCGGGTGAGGGTTGAGGGGTTGGAGGGTGCGGTGGGGGGTTTGGATGGGCGGATTCATGGTTATTATGGGGAGAGGGATGGGGAGGGGGAGACGGAGGTTCTGGTGCCGGATTCGACGGCTGGTGCTCCTGGTGCTGCTCCTGGTTATGGTGCTGGTGGTGCAGGTGGTGGTGCTGCTGCCGGTGCTGCCGGTGCGGGGTTGGGGTATCTGGTGGGAGGTATGGGCGTGGGGTTGCGGTTGGGGTTGGGGAGAGGGGGTGGGTTGTCTTCGACGGGGGAGGGGGGGAGTACTGCTACTAGTACTGCGTCTACGTGGGAGAGTGGGGGTTTGGATTGTTGTGGTAGTGGTGGTGGTGGAGAAGGTGAAGGTGAAGGTGAAGGAGAAGGGGAGGGGAGGGATGGGAGGGACGGAGTCTGTGGTGGTTCGGTGGTGATGGTTGCTGGGATGGCTGGGCGGGCGACGGGGGAGGTTTGTAAGGTTGCTGCTGCTGCTGCTGCTGCTGCTGTTGCTGTGCGGGGTGATGCGGATGGGGCCGGGGCTTGTGGCAGTGGTTCAAGACGGACGATCAGAAGTCAGAGTGTCAGGGACTGGTTTGAGGTGTTGGAGAATCGGGGCATCGTGCGCAAGAGGAAGAGAGCGAGACGATCCATTCCGATTGTTCCGGCTGATGAGGAGGATGTTCGCATTGCGAGGGCGATGATGATGGGTCATTGAGCTGCTTAGAGAATCCTGAAGTCTCATTCGAGAGGGGTATGTATTGGTACGTGTAGGTGTATGTATATATACTGATCGTCTCTAAAACCCACTACATCCTCATTCGACCCTGGGTAGCCGCTCTAGGTCTCGGCGTACCGGTAGCGGCCCTCGCGGTCCTGGACCTCGACCTGGATACGCCCCTCCTCGAGCTCCTTGCCGTCCACCTCGATCGACGCCGTCATCACGTCCCCGGACTTGACCTCGCCCACGCCCTTGGGCGTTCCCGTCAGGACCAGGTCGCCCTTCTCGAGCGTCATGACGCGGGAGATCTCGGCCAGCAGGCGAGGGATGCGGTAGAGCATCAGGCCGGTCGAGTCGGCCTGCCGCTCCTCGGCGCCCACGCTCAGGCGCAGGAAGGCGTTGTGCGGGTCGGGCAGACGCGCTTTGGTGATCTCCTGCGAAATGGGCAGGAACGTGTCGAAGCCCTTGGCGATGGTCCACGGGAGTCCCTTCTTCTTGGCCTCTTCTTGGACGTTGCGGGCGGTCATGTCGATGCCGAGGAGGTAGCCTAGGTATCACAGGGCTGCTTAGCCAGAATGCTTTGGATTGTTTGGGGGGCGGATGCACGAACTGTGAATCGCATCCAATGCGCCCTTGCTGTCCTCCGGGTCGAGGTCCCGCACCGTCTTGCCCATCACGAGAGCGAGTTCGACTTCATAGTGCAGCTTGGTGCCCTGGGGCCGCAGGACGGGACCCTGGCCGGGAAGGAGAATGGAGGACGAGGGCTTGAGGAAGAAGAAGGGCTGCTTGGGCTTGGTGTTGTTGAGCTCGGTGATGTGATCGCTAGAGAGCGACGTCCGTTAGCCTGGTGAGCGTGGTCATCGATGGTTTCGTCGACAAAGGGACCGTACGCATAGTTTCTGCCAATGCAGATGACCTTTCTGCACTGAGCCTTGATCGCAGACGCCATTGTGTTTGTTGCGTAAGAATTGCAGCGAGAAGAAGAGTCAAAGTGGGTGAGAATTGCAGAAGTTGGGGATGCGATGGCAGGGCGGATAAGAATATAATCGGCCGGGGAGGCGGAATGGCCCTCCGCGCTTTTTCATTGCGGAGAGCTCGGATTCTCCGAGCTTCGGAGGTTGGAGCCGGGGTGGCACCCCGTCCGGGGGAAGTACAGGTGTGTCATTTCGATTAGTTATTCCTTCACATTGAGATATGAACCTGAGAGGTGTGGGATTATACAACAAGTGTATAGAAGAGTGGGTTGTGATGGGTGCGATCAAGTGTAACTGTGAATGGCATGCCACAACAATGAGTGGCCTGGATTGAAATGGGCTTTCTTACGTCACGCGGGCTGCAGAAGCGCAGCTGCTCTTCCAGCCGCCTTCCACCTTGTTGACACCGTCGCGACACACGACCGGTCAATGAAGCGCAGTTGATAAGAATTGCATTCTACAAGCTGCTAACTTACCCTCGTCACCATGCAAGTAGCGGAAATCCTCTCCGATCTCACGTCGCTGCGCGTCTGTGTAGGTTTTGTGCCTCTCATCCAGCCGCCTGTCGAGTAGAGCTCAAACTCTATGACTGTCTACGCTAGACAAGGACTGATGTCTCGCAGGATTACAACGATGCTCTGGCACTCGTGACCATTCAAGAGAGATTGGAATCTCGCCCCGAAGAGATACAATCACAGCCCAGCAACAGGGAAGAAACACCGGCTATACAGACGGAACAGGACCAGCTCCGTCAAGCAAAGGAGTTAGTGGAGCTGCATCACGATGTCAAGGCCAGGCATGCTTTTGGGACCGTGGATGAAGAGCTAGCTAAGCTGAGGGAAGATGTCCGACGGGTCTTGCTGGAGCTAAAGCCCCGTGCAGCGGTACCAGAATGAAAGCACACATATCAAATCATCAACGTCTTACGTGGGGCTGTCAGCCTTTGTGTTCCATTTCATTACATTCAATCAATACACTTTCAGTGCAAGCTGTGAATGCATCGACTTGGCCCACCACAGAGTTTCCACGCGTGCAAGGAATAGGATCCCTCATCAGGGCAGCGGAATTGGTGCTGGGTCTTTGCGCAAGAGATATCCGTGCTCAACACTCGCGTAACCATCATCGTACCAGTCCGGGACCGCCAGTCACCCGTGATCCATTTACTGCATGCGGTACACATAAAACAAGTTCTACTCCAGTTTCCCGCCCAGTATCTCTCGGAGTCAAGGTCCCTGTGAGGACAGGTAGGAATCTTCTTGCACCAGATCGCGACTGTCGGTGCCTTGCGGAATCTATAGTGGTAGTATGTCCTTACCACGAGACTGTCTGCGCCGTCGGACGAAATTGTCATCTCCAGGCTGCACGCGATCTTGGCTTGCCGGGGTGTAGAGCACGTGTGCGTCAGGGTACGGTTACCTTGATCGTCGCGCGAAAACTGATATCGCCCGTCTGGTTCCTCCCCGAGAATCGGATACCGCTGACCCCGTTCGCATATTGCCCCTTGGAGGGATCGCACCAGCCGTTCCATCCCGCGAGGCGTTAGGCTAGTGCAGGCGCAAAGATCGAGGATCCCGGCGAATGTCGCACACTTTCGCGTAATGGATGGTGTCAGGCTCCGGAGCCCCCGCGGGAATTCCTTGCGAGGATGTAATTTGAGGCAGGCTGCACAGCACCTCCAGCGACGGTTCTGGAGCAAAAGGAGGAATTGGTTCCGGACCACATGTTTCTGGTTTAGGGAGATCAAGGGATTGAGATTGTTCAGTAGGCGCGGGAAGCAGAGCGCCTCATCCTTCAGCACGTACGAAAAACAGTTGTAGAGAGGCTTGCAGGCCAGGGCAAAGCAAGCCTGCGAGGCAGGCGGGAGGTAGGAGATTATTTCCAGGATGAGTTCGAGAGGCAGGTCGAGCAACCAGCATGACCTGGCAGAAGGCCAGATATGCTTGAGTAAAGCCTGTATCCGGCTGAGCATTAGTCTACTTAACACTAGACGTAAGAGCATGAGGGCACTTCGCCAATCTCAGGAGAAGAAAGCAGAATGAGAGCTCTTATCGGTGATAGCTGGAGTGTTGAGGATGGAAATGAAAGTACGTACAGATCTATTTTGGAGGGCGAAGGCACTCTAACAAGTTCCGGCTGTTGCACGAGTTCCGGTCTTGAGATCACAGTATAGTCATCGTCTTCAGAACAAACGAAACAAACCAATATTATAGCCTCAACCCTAAGCCAGCTCAATGCTCCCGAGGAAGGTGGACCACAGTAGGCGTAGAAATGCGACTTCAGGATCGAGCGCACCAAACCAAGCAATTGCCGTCCCTAGCGGAGAGGGCTAAGGTCGACCGATTACTGTCGGTTTTGTAAATACAGTGAGTGCACTTGGCCTTCCACTGTCCGACACTTTGACGCTCTTTCGCAGTCTTGGTCTCAAGCTCTTCGTCCTCTTCGACCATCTAAGCCGAAGTACTCCGTACTTGAAGTCCCTTAAGCAAAGGTTGACTCAGCTAAAAAGCTGCAAATATTCCAAATGGAGGAGATCGCAGACTTCTGTACATAGGAGCATATCGTGAGCAGCTTGGTCGACAAACACAAGAGCAAAACCATTGGACTTACTTTGCGAGGCTCCGGTTGATCAAGTCAATCCCGCATCTGCAACTGATTTGACGGGGCGTCACTGCCCACCTCTTTTCTTCTTTCCTGACAGGTACGTCAGCCCTGCAGGCCGCTGTTGAGACCGACGTCGAAAGCCTCCGCTAAACAGGGCATTAAAAGACAGGAAGTCAATATGTGGTGTTGTCGGTCCGACTAAACAGGGCAATGGAAAACAGGAAGTCGCTGTGTGCTGCTGTCAAAGCAGCCTGCGCGTCGTAAAACTGGATGACCGGCACCGAAAGCCTCCGCTCAACAGAGCAAGAGAAATGGAAGTAGAGAACAGGACATTGCTTTGTGCTGCTGTCTGGTCGAAAGAGGAATGCACTTATTGCGAATGCACGCATCGAGGTTTTCCAGAGGGTGCTGCACAATGCAAACAACATCTAGAACATTTGACAAAACAATCATCAAGGTAACATGGTTCGTTCCACAGTTGAGTCGGTGCACCTCAACATGAGGTGCGGCAGTGATCTGATGAGGGAGATGATCACTGGTTCGTTTCGAGACATAGGCTATTCGGATCAGACGGTCAATCTCTGAGGTGACGGTTGAGGGAATTTCTGGAGATCGGGGGTGTTCTTACTTTTGTAACCACCGGCGCTTGGCAAGGAGATGAGGTCAGGTGTTACTTGTGTCAATCGGATTTCTGGCCAGGGTGTCGAATAGCAACCCTCACAGTAAGAGGTTCGGGAGAAAGAAGATGGTAAGGAGATAGTGGTCTGTACCCGTGGAAAAGGAATCCACTAGACATGTCTGAGGATAAATGATACCAGTGTCAGGGCTCGTAGGATGGTGTTGGGATGTGTGAGAAGGAGGTGGAAGCTGAGGGTGTTGGTAGAGGCGAAGTGGAAGGTTGGAGAAAGGAGGAGGGAGGATGAGGGGAGGGACTGACAAGACGTGACTTTGGTGAAGTATTCACCAGAACATCTCATCTTCAGCTGTTCTCAGTATCTGTGAAATGGGACAGAAAATCTGATTTTGATTTTGTTGTTCAGATCCTTATTCATCGCTCAGCTCGGGCCTGAGTTTGTATGGAGAAGTTTAAGAAATCAGCAACCAAACTAAGACGAGACTCAAGACTACCCAGTAGCAAAAGAGACAAACAAATCCATTGAAAGCTAGGTAGATTCTCTGTTAGATAAGAAGTGAATACTCAGCTAGTGCCATCTCACCCAATGATTCACACGACAAGGAAACTCACCTCATCCATTCTAAGGGCCTAGAGTGAATGTCTTAAGCACCAGTACTACTCACCTCCCACACCCCCAAGCATGTACATGAACAAGTACTATCATCGCAGCGAAAAACCAGATCAGAAGAAAAGATCACCAACCAACCCAAACAGTCACCCACATATTGACACCTGCAAGGTACAGAAGAACACATTCCGCAACTCCACAACCCCGCAAATGCACCCCATCGTCCTCGACAACATGGGGGTCTAGCTGTGACAAGCAAGAATGTTCCACATCCCTCAGTCTGATACATTCCACTGCTCCCTCGCAATTTACTTCATGACTCACAGTGACAGCACATTCGATGCCGGTATCCTGAAAGGCCAGGCTGCTAGCGTGGTTTAATTTCCCGACGGTGGTACAAGGGGACAGGATAGTGCGCCTTCATCAGGAATGCGTGGGTTGTAGCATGCAGGAGATGCGATTCATGCACGGCAATGACAAATCCTGTCGGTGTCTCGGGCAACGTTGCGAGGTCCGCAAGGGGGCGACAGCAGCCCGGCCCTGGCACGTGTTTCAGGTCACATTCTTCGGGGTGCAGTTGACATGCTGAGATATTTTGGGGGGAAGGTTAAAGAGGAGATTCAAGGTTAAAAGGCTAACAGTGTATCATGTGGTAACCATGATGGTGTCATAAATCAAGGGTCATGAATTGCTCACCATGACTATAAACTAACATTCTTAGAGTTCGCTTAGCACGAAACCACAACGCCTGACATAGAACCTGCAGAGTGCCAACGGGATATCAAGTATAAACAACAGATGTGAAATATAAGAAGAATGAGGGCAAGAAGCACGCTAATATGAACACTAAACCACGAAATATAGTGTTGACCACACACATCAAATATGGTAAAAGAATATAGAGTGAATAGGAAGCGAGTGACTGCCCAGGCTTATACCCATGGATCAGTCTGTCCCTGGGTGTTATATGGACTCACAGGGCCAATGAGTCGGATTTGTGACTTCAGCTGCGAGTGTCGTCGCTCAAGCTTGGCCCCAGTGATCTTCTTTCGAGCCCCACCGATAGCTCCCAGCAGGTGGGAGGTTCCATTGTGGAACGCCTTGACGTAGTCCCGAGTGTTCTGCTGGATCTGGGAGCGGGCCGGAGGTGTCAGAGGAGGCGTGGCCGACGAGATGAACCCTTTCGGTGTTGGCGGGCTCCTCTTTGCATACTTCGGAAACCGCACCTGGCGGTTTTGCCGATAGCTCACGCGCTTCTCGCGGCCCGGCTTTTCCCACGGGGAAGCCCCATGTTTCGGATAAGGGCTGAGAGGACCAGCGAGCTGCTTTTTCCGCAGGGTAAGAGGGGGCGGGCGTTTCACTCGAGCGCTGACCGTCGATCGTGAGGATCGTGATGACGCTCCGGACAGCCGCTTGCCTGAGATGGGAAAGTCCACGGGACTGGGCGGCATTAGAGGGCTCACTACATCGGTACGTTCTTTCGACAGCGTCCACTCAATCGATGGTGTTTGGTTGCGCGTATAGTCCGAAGATACTGTGTCGGGTCGCGAGTCTGGCCGCGAGCTCGGCCGGGCAGTGTCGCGGTCTACCGAATGTTTGGACAAGCGGCGTTGCACGTAAGATCGAATCGAGTCTCGAACATCATGCGCAAGAGCGCGTCCCCCTTTGTCGGACGAGCTCCAGCGACCGCAGGACTTGGAGAAGTCGAAGACCGCGAGGTTCAACCGACTACTGCTCTTCTTCCGAGAAGCAGCGGCATGGTTGGTGGTACAGGAAGGTAGGGCGGATTGAGGCGCGAGTTCTGGGAAGAAGTCCCATTTCTTCTCGCGGAAATAGTGATTAGGACCAGCTCGCTTGACGGTCCAAGGGGCTGGTCGGTCGACATGATCATCGTGTAAGAAGGTGGCGGTAATTGCCAGCGGTTTAGAGTCCCCATAGTGATCAATGGGGGCGGAGGCGGGAGGATGATCGACTAGTTCGGTCAGATCATCGGACCCTGAGCGAACAAATACGGGGTAGCTCTCGGTGGTAGACACTTCGGAAAACCGTCGGCTGCCATAGTAACTGGAAACCATACTGCTGTCGTCGCTCCAGGCGGTTGAACCAGCATCCATGATTGAGGGAGCCTCCGGTAGAGGTTTGGCGGGCAGCTCGGGGAGCGGTTTATCTAATAGCAAGGTTGGGCGAACAGACGGCGGCTGAGGGATTCGAGGAGGGATGACTTGTTCCAATCCTTCCAAGGACCGAGACGGTCTCACAGGAGGAGCTTCTCGTGGCAGCGCCAACGAGGATGGAGGAAACATGTTGATCGGAGTGGGGTTGGGGGTTGATGATTGATTGACGGGCCGATGGGCGGCTAATGAAGGTGGAGTGAAGTGGAGAGAGTGTGTATAAACCAGAGAGGGGTCACTCAATGAAAGTGAGACCGACACCTCTGACTTGTTCTCTTCCTCCAGGGATGAAACAACCAGTTAAGTTCGATAAGTAGGTTGGTAATAGTAAGTCACAATTGAAAAGAGAGTCAAGTAATCGAAGGGAGTAGCCAGTGAAGTTCTGAAGAGAGATAGTAGTAGGCTTAGGCTTTGGCCTAGGCTTAGGCTATGAATGGCCTGAAAACCCGATGGAGCATGCGTTGGACCCAGCAATTGGACCAGACTAAAGTCGAGTCGTAATAATAGTTTAGTCAATCAGGCACTTTGCTTCTTTTATCACCCGTCGCGTGCTGCTCAGTGCACTTTTTAACCTTTGTTGGCGTCCGGGATGACAGGCTGCGAGTCGATCGAGTCAATGGTGGCCAGTTCCTTTCACCTTCAACCAGTTGCCGTGGTTCTTCTGCGGGACTGCAAAGGGGTTGCAGATGGTGATAAAGAAAAGGCCAGAACCATAGTTTGTTCAACCCCAGAATTAGACTGAAAGGAAGGGAAGGGAAGAAGAGAAAGAGGGAAGGAGAAGGAAAGCAAAACGCGGCACACAAGGAATGGGGAGGGAGGATGATAAAGGAGGGGTTAAAAACGAGCGAAACGAGGAGGAAGAGGAGGAAGAGGAGGAAGAGCAGGTTGAAGCAAGACAAGAGAGAGAGGATCGGGTACAAGCAGCGAACAGCTCGATGATTGACTGACTACTTTGGCTGCTTTGGCTGCTGGTTGCGATGCGATATGCATGAGGCTGGCCTAGCGTCGAAAGGGGGATGGAGGCTGCAGCACAACGAGGCCGCATTATTTATTTATTTATTTATGAGATTTATCATGAGTAGCACATATTATTCTTATTTTAATCGTTGTCCATCCATCCATCCATGATCCCTCCAGAACCAGCTCATCCCTAGTTTGTCCTGCCCGGTTAACGGACGGAGTTTCCCGGATTCTGGGCGAGAGCTGAAGATGGCTGGATTCTAGTCCGGAATAGAGAGTGCTAAACTGTCCCAAAGGGATGGCTGGACCCGCTTGGCTTGTTTAGATATGACTATGTAATTCGAGGTTAATCTTGGACCCAATCTCCAAAATCAATTAAGAAAGTAAACCCCCGATATATCTCAAATTCTCGGGGGCAGTTCCTGGCAGGCTGGTCGGCTGCAGGATCGTCGTGGTCATCATGGGCATGGAGTCATGAACAGCCTCATTGAAGTGACACATCCATGCAAGGGATGGACCTGGAATGGACCTTGATCGAGATGGGGGGGTTCCCTGTTTGCATACGAAAGCCCGATGGGTGGTGGAAGTGATGGTGGAAGTGATGGTGATGGTGATGAATAACAACAATGATGATGATAAACAATAAACAGACTAACGGGAGATGGAAATTGAATACGAAGACCTGAGAAGGCCTAGTCTAAGAAGGGCTGAGAAGGAAGAGTGTGCTTACTGCTTACTGTTTGTTGACTGCTGACCTACAGTAGTGTAAGGTAGTCAGTAGTTGGTAGTTAGTCCGATCGTCCCCGTCGAGTCTAGCCCTTTTCGCGGTTGCCCGATAAACATCAATCAGCCCTGATGTACTGCGTACTGCACGTACAAGCCTTCTCCGTCGCCTGTCTTTTCCACTTCCAACCACATTCCCTCTCTTCCCTTGCCTTCTGTCTGTCTCTTTTCAAGTTTCTCTTCGGACATGCCGAATGTCAAGAATTCGAATAACATAATCTATATTTTCTGCTGGTCGACAGCCATTCAGGAATCGGTGCCTGACTGCTGCAGCTAGGGCAAAAAATAAATCCCAAATCCCCAAAATGAAACTAAGTTAGACTTAGTTCGCTTAGCATGACATTCGGACAGATCACATAGCGGTAGGGAGGATCTCCCTGTGGGTTGCCTTTTCCTTCCATTACGCTGCCACGTTATTTTTCCTTCTTGACCTCAGCAATATGCTCGGCCGGTTACAATCCGACCTCGGAGAAAGAGCCTCCCTCCCTCGCTTCTTTCTTTGTTCGTGGCTTAGTACGAAACTAAAGCACCCGTGACACAATATCGCCACAACGACACCCGTCCGTCCTCTTCAGCCCATAATATTCATTGTTTCCCTGTTCACCATGGCCTTTCATGGTCCTCGATCAGATCACTACCTTCATCTAGCATTGCGAAATGCTCGTGTTGCTCTACCTTTCTTTTTTTTCTTGTTTTTCGTTACACTGGTCGATCTCCAAACCTAACCTTTGCCATGTCCGGGATCGACTGGCTGGTGGAGCAATACTTGCAAGGAACTAAGAGATAGTCGTGGTCCAAACGTTGACAGGTCATATAGTGCCCGGCTCGTGCCGTTCAGTTGACTTCTCTCTTGGGTGTTTTCGTCTCTTTCCAGTCCCCCCTCTCCCTCGTTCTTGCTTGCCTCCACAGTTCGTTCCTTGAGTGTGAAATCACTAGGAAAGCAGCGGCCATCAGCCCGATGTCCCCGAGACGAGACCAGCCATTACGATCACCTGATCCGTTGGCACAACATCAAAGACGCCTGTTGTCAATATACAGCGCCACAGATGTCGTTCGCAGCGGACATGCTGTGCAACGGATGCGAGTCGGGCATATTTCGGATGGAGATGATGAAATGCTGGCCCCGAGTCCCGAGTAGATTACCGATCATCTCCCAAGAGACGGTGAACAGCGCAGTGAGACCCCTATGCCAGGTTCTGCTGATATCGTGCTGGATGGAGCAAGACCATGTCCCTCGCGACCGAACAGTCCCGCTCCACTCTCCTGCGCAGAGAAGCTCGACAAGACCAACACCGCTTCCATTATGAACCTTCTAGAACAAGAGAGACTCAAAGGGGGGCCACCAATCGCACAAGTCACCGCTCATGCTTCTAGGAATCTGGCCCACTGGCACTACCATCGATCTGTTTCAGATATGCCGCCCGGCGGAGGTCGATCTTATGGGGCACATTATTGCTGTTGCTGCCGAGTTTGGCGGCGGCCCGCCGTCCTGACGATTGGAGGACAGACCGCATATTTCTTCCTTCACCGTCAACCTGCTAACAATGCTTTGATCGGCACTGGGGACCATCCTGTCTGACATCACCATTGCTCATGTTCGTGTTCTTGGTCACATTCAAGCCGGTACTACCCACATGCTTTGTAGCTTTTGCAGTACCAAGCATCAAGATGGATTCTTGGACAGCCGGAGTGAGTCGGTGAGACTCAACTAGACGATCAGCAGACGGGAATACGAGGCCAGGGTCGTGAGGGTTGTGGAGGCTCGCCTAATCGATAGTAATGGCTGCCCGACCTTGGTTGGATGGCAATTGTAAATGCCTCACGAAGAATCTAAGACAGGTTTGACTCATTATTTCAGCTGGATAACCTCTCACGGCTGGATACGCAGTGGTCAATCAACATGGGGAACGAACAGCAATTGATCTCCCTGTCTTACTAAGACAGTTACTGTGATCTAACTATCAATTACGTAGCCTGATTAATCATGAACATTGATGAAACGTAGAAATCTACTATCATACACTAAGCAAATACGACAGTAAGTGGCGGGCGGTGATCAGGTGAGATTGAATCAATGTAAGATCAACTGGAATTCTTGCACTCCTTCCTATTCTTTATCTCCGCAGTCTTTGTCCGCCTGCATCTTATATCCGGGGATGACTGGAGCATCCTTGGGGAATGTTCATCATGTGTACTGGAGAAGTATCCAACTAGATTGCGAATCGCTATCGATGAGAACTTCTCCGAAGCAAGCATGACTACAACATAATGGCACGAAATGGTACCTCGAGAGCCAGCCATACCATCGAACCTGCAGCTGCCATCTCTGACCCAGACAACAAGCATCGCACAACGTCGATGCATCATGCAGGAGGTCTAGGAAAATTCATCTCGTGCCGTCATTCCTCGCCCTGCATATCGTCACGAGACTCTTCCGAGAGTGGGCTAGAAGATGCAAGGTCTTCGACTGCCATCTCCTCCGACGGATCAGTGGAAAGTGGTGTCCGAGGCGTACGGTATGGGCAATGATCTCTCTCTAGAGTCCCAATCACCCTTTACCATCTGGCTGACAGACACACGAACCTTTGTCTTCTATCAGTTACCTATTCCTCGTACACCAGCCGATGTTCCATTGTCCATGCGATGGGTCCCTCGAAAGGATAAGAGTCAGCCGCCTTCCTGGTCATCCATAGCTGCAGGATAAATGATGGACTGATGCAATCCGGCTCTGCAGGAACCTATGCTTTGGGCTTCGTTTCCTACTAGGCCTATAGCAGACGCCTTGTCCCGTTCCATGTCAACCACCATCATGAACAAGCCTTACATTTGTCACCTTGAAGTACAAGACACTGGCGGCCTGCCATCATTGACCTAGATCCCGAGGTCAGAGCGTCAATCACTGCAGAGAGCAGGTAGTACCAAAACCCAAAGATAGACTGCACTACCACGCAAACACCTCTGGATCGACATAACCACGGAGAGAACCCACGGGAACCACTACCGAGTTTCACCAAGAGTGACAAATACCGGGCCCCAGAGCTTGGGAAACCGAGGAAAACCCCCTTTTACCGGAGGTATGGTTGATGGAGAGGTCCGCTGGCTGTTCGCAGAAACTAGCGTCAGCCGACGGATACGTGCATGGAAAGCAATCAACAACGAGGAGCGCAGAGGGCGCCCCCCCGGAGCTGTCAGCCTCCTAGCAATGGGAGACTTGCTTGGGGTTTTACAAATCAGGTGCGACCGATCTTCGGTTGGTGCATCGTGCATTGGGGGAATTTGTCACACCCGGGCTGGGGCTGGGGCTGGGGAGGCAGGAGGCAGGAGGCAGGCCCCCGGTCTCGCGTGGCGCCGTCCGACTTCGGCACGGGGGAATATGAGGGATTGTGTGACGAGACGAGCTTGAGTATAGAATGTGTTGCACACTGCTCTAGCGCAGCAGCTACGACGCTTGAATGATACCGGTCTGGCAGCTGCATTTAGGACGGTGATTCAAGGAATGTCCTACAGCCATCAGACGGTCTTGCACTGAGGGATGCCCGACCTTTGTGTCGTCACTAACCATACCTTGCGATCTGGTTTGGTGTGGTTTTTGAAGCCTCTAGGATGGCCTGCTGCGCTTAGCAGCCTACGATATGAGCATGGATGCCAGCTAGTGCTATTTCGTCTGTGTCACCCCAACAGTCCCAATG